CAAATATCATTTGTGTCCGGCGTCCGCGCATCTCACCATAATAAGACCGGACTCACAAGTCATAAACTCTGAGATGCATGTATAGAATACAGAACGCATTGGAACGGCTTTTTGTTGGGAGCATATTCCAACTCCACATTACCCCTACTGATCCCTTGTGTTTGGCCAAAAATATTGGTTGCAAATACTCTTTTGCCCTATAATTAATGTATCAAAAAAATTAATGTCTCATGAGCAAGGTGCACATGAGACCCACTGGCCATACAGCCCATTAACCCATGGGGTTGATGCTATTTTTTTAAGGCCCCTTTATCAAATTAATTGGACTCACACTGGCTTGTTAGGTTTAACCAGCCATTTTATAGTTTGTTTTAGTTTTCTTATGTTATCCACAACCAATTCAGTTAAGAAATTAATGTAACATAGACCTCTTTTTTAACACCATCTTTCTTCTAGTTTCTACTAATGATGATGATGACTTTAGCATTGATTCATAATCTTTGTAACTAATATCACAAAATTATTCTTCCCACCTGTTAATAACCTAAATTAACAAGTGTTACTTTCCACTAAAATGAAACTAAATTTTGTTCCATCATAACTGCCTTCTATTTTTATCAAACCAAACACAGCATGAAAATGCTTGCTCTGTCTTGGGCTATCAGATTCAAGGAACAGACAATTTATGTTCACATTGATTGATGAGACGATGGTTGTTGGTGATTTGGAAGGGAAATCTCTACTCAGCCGATATTTAAGGACATTTTACATATGGCTACTGAGTTTCTTTCTATCTAGACCATTTATCTAGGCTACTGAGTTTTCTTCTATATATTAAAGGAAGGTTTTCATGCTACAGCCCCCACCATTCAAACATGCGGTTTTTTCAAATTTAGACACATGTGTTTTTTGAGAAGTTGCAATTAAATCCCTCAACCCATTACCACCATTCGGACAAGTGGCCTTCTCATTTACTAGAAAGCTAGATATGTGACAATTTTTGAGAAATTTCTACTAAAGCCCATGGCCCATTACTAGGCTACAACCCCCCACCATTGAGACAGATGGCCCTTTTATTTTTCTAGAAAGCTAGACATGTGGCATTTTCTAAGAAGTTGTTGCTAAAGCCCACAACCCACTACCACAAATTTCAATCCATTCCTAAAAAATGCATAAAATGCAAAAATGGTTATCCACAACTACTTTTGCCTACATTCTATCAATCTAACCATCCACTTATCATAACAAAAGAAAACTATCCATATTCTAATAATTATTGAAAATATATTTTTCTGAATAAATATTTCTTGAAATTTTAATAATTATTTAAAATATTAATCAATATAAATTTAACATTATTGATTCTATAATGTAAATTTAATATTACTAATTCCTTGGACTTAGTACATGGTCATTCACTAGTGTGTGTGTGTATATATATATATATATTATATATATATATATACTAAAACAAGGAAGTCTAGAAATTTTCTCCTTTTTTATTTTTTTTTAATTCCATGTCATTTTTGAAACAACCAATGGTATGCACTTTCTCAATAACCTAAATAACCATTTCTCCTAAAATTTCTCCTAAACTACCTCCCCCACTATCCTCCACTTTCTCAAAAATTATCTCTAATTCCTATTTATCTTCTAAATTATCTCTAATTCCTATTTATCTCCAAAATTATCTCTAATTTAGTAGAGAGTTTCACTCCTAAATTATCTCTAATTTAGTAGAGAATTTCTCTCCGAAATTATCTCTAATTCCTATTTATCCTCTCCCCTACTTTATCTATATCTATCTAGAAAAGTTTGGATTAAAAAATTAAAAATTATTTAAATATTCTAACAAACTTTTAAATAAATAAAATTCAAATAATAAAAAAAATTAAATATTTTATAGATTATTTAAATATTTAAATAACTAAATATTTATCATAACTAAATTTTAAATAGTTAAAATACAAAACTCTGTAATAAATTAAAAAAAATATTGAAATTAATAATAATTTAATATATTACAAAATTAAAAATGAAATTATGTAATAATAGTATAAATTATGATTTAATGGAAAGCTAAATTCAATAAATAATTAATATCTTAAAATTTAAATATTTTATATTTTATTTAAGTATTTAAATAACTAAATATTTTAAATAAAAAAATATTTAACATAAGTAGATTTTAAATAGTTAAAATAAAGAAATTATGTAATAAATTTAAAAAAATCTGAAAAGTAGAAAAATAATTATAACATAATATTGAAATTAATAATAATTTAATATTCTTACATAATATCATAAATAACTTATTTCACTTATACCAAGTAATAATTTGAGAAAATGACTTTCAAAAAAATTAATATTTATTAATAATAATTTTAAACTCTTAATATATATTTATTATAATTATATATACTAAAATTAATATTTATTGTATTTCAGTAATTATTTATTGTTTTTAGTGATAAATGTACTTTCATTGATTTTGTATAAATTTATTTTGTTTTGTTATTTAACAGAAAACTTTTAATAATTATTGGAGATTAAACTACTATTATCGACATTTTTAAATTTAATTTATTGTACTTATTGTATTTATTGTATTTTTTCTATAACTTATTGATTAATATTTATTAGAGATTAAACTGTTATTTGAAATTATACTAATTATTGACTAAGTTAATATATTTTTGGTACTTACTATATTTTTTAAAATATTGTAATTATTGTATTATTTTCATTATCAATATATTTTCGATAATTGTGTATTTTTGCTATAAATTTTCAATAATTATTGGAGATTAAACTACTGTTATTTATTAGAGATGAGACTATTAATTCAGTAGAAATTATTGAGTGTTCATGAGTTAGTTCGGTTTGGTCGTAGGCTATTTGGCCAACCAAATTGACTTGGTCAAGTTGGGGAGTTGGTTAGCTAAAACCGACTGACCTTTTGTGAAAACCAACCCACTCAAGTTGTATCAGTTTGGGTCTATTTTTTGGTTTGGTCAGTTGGTTCAAATGATTTAAACTTAAAAATTATAGTGTAATTATTAAAAAATAAATTTAAAAATTAGATTTATGATATAAAACATTTTATACTAAGAAATATGGGAAATTTCCTACTTTCCTATATTAAAAATTATATTTAAAATATAAGATATTAATATATCCATGGTTAGGTCATTCGATTTTGGTCAGTTTACAAATGGCCAAAGTGAAACTGATCCAACTTGATCGAATTGGGAAAATTTTGAACCAAAGCCGACTTAAAATACTAGAAAACCGACCAACTTGGGTCGAGTTGATTGGGTTGGTCGGTTTCATCAGTTTGATGAATAAACCTAATTGAAATTAATTATTGTTATTTTTGTATTATAAAAAATTATTAAAAGTAGTATATAAAATATGAATAATTATTAATTATTTAAAAAGCTGAAAATATAAAACAATTGTATACTCTTGTGTGTTTCTATTAGGGTCATTATTAGAACACACCTTATAGTTTTACATATTTACTTAAACATACCTTATAGTTTTCATTTTAATAAAACATCCCATATATTTTACAACTTATTTACTTAACCAACTTTTCATTAAGGAGTGTTTATTTTGCTATTAGGCCCATGATTTTTTATTCCAAAATTACCTTTAACACTTTTTTGTACAGAAAACAAAATTGACCAAATATAGCCAATAGAGTGGTTGCCTGTGTCTTAAGGGAAAAAATGGTATTTATTTAAATGAACATTAGGGTCAACACTGTCATCTAATGGAAGATTGATTAACTCCATTGCAAATTGTAAGTGGTGTTTTAGTAAAATGCTAACTATATGGTAGATTTTAGTAAATCCATGAAACTATAAGGGGTATTTTAGTAAATGACCATTTCTAGTGTTTGGCTTCGCTTAATAAATCCCATGCATCGCAGGGTCCCCGCTAGTTAAGTATAAAGGATTGGGTGCATTCTCTGCCACTTCTACTTGCATTTTCAAACACAACATGATGCTAATTCCAACATTTTCAAGCATACCAATAAAATTGGGTTGTATTTGGTATCATTGCCACTTCTACTTGCAATGTTTTAGGTTGGTCAATACAAATTTTTGACAAATTGTCTTGTCACATCACACTTAATAACCACTTGCATGCATTAAAAAATATAAGCATTTGATTGGGTGTTGGCATTAATGATAGAAACACCAAATTTGATGTTTCTTGATTAAACAACAATGGTACCAAATTTTCTATTGATAATTCAAAGCATTTGTGGTGGGAAAAATATATATTCTCATAAAATTTGTATTGACCAACCTAAAACATTGCAAGTAGAAGTGAAATGGCACCAAACACAACCTTAGCAGAACATTGCCATTTTTTTTATTTATTTCTGTTATAAAATTAGGGATATCCCTAACTGGGCCCAAGCTATGGACACAGGCCCATTTAAATTTTAACAAATGCTCAATTTGAACCTGCCTAAGCATGCATGATGCAGCATACAACTGCATGAAAATGATTTTTTTATTTGTTTGTTTGTTTGTTTATTTATCTTAGGATAAATTGCTGAAACCTCCTTGAAGCTTCTCACCATTGCTGAAACTCTCCTTTAAGGTTGGTAGTTGCAATCATCTCCCCTGAACTTTCTAATACAATTGCAAGTAGACCCCTTTTGTTAAAATCCTTTAACAAGAGACACAAAAATGCCCAAAATACCTGTGCGCAGCTAGAATGAGGCTGTTTTACCTTTGAGTGATTGATATGAAGGATAAATTTGAAAAATAAATCAATTTTTCAAAAGAGATTGGAAGAATTTGGAACAGGGGTTGATATGAATAAAAATTTGGAAAATATTCATTTTGAACAAAGTAACCGTTTGGGAGGGCTTTCCCATGGAAGTTTATGGGCTCCACCTGAACAATCAATAAGCAATATTAATTTATCTAGTATTCTTTTTCCTGCAAGGACAACAAGGACTAACTTCAATGGCTCAATTAAGGTTTACTATACTCTAGTAAAAGAACTACAAAGAGGAGAGAAGAAGGAATGACAAGAAAAGAAAAAAAAAAATCAAGATCATATTCGTGTATTTTCATCCTGCTTCACAGGTCTCTCTATTGGCAGCAGAATCAGAATGTGGCGTGGAAATTGCTGCTGCACTTGCAGCTCCTGCGCCCTCCCTAGCCACATCGTATGTTGCATGAAGCCCGACAAGCAAGTAATAAACGACCAAGATAAGCGTCCAAACAATAAATCTCATATAAGACGCCACATCAAGCGAACCCAACAAGAAAATGTTGACAGCAATGGTAGCTGAGGGCAACCAGGGAAATAAAGGCACCCCCCATAGCTTCGGCTTCTTTGCCTCCTTAACCATAATCTTCAATCCTAACGTTGCCAAAAACCAAATCGGCACTGTCACACTATAACCAATCCATCCTTTATCATCGACTGCCCAATATACGGCTGTCCCGATTGATGACGCCAGAATCAACGTCAGGAACCCAACCAGCATTCTTCGGTCATGGGTGGATGTCTCACCAGCCACGTAGTATCGCCTGACGAGAAGAGCGACAGCGACGAGTGAAAACACGAAAAGGGTAGAGATAGAGAGAAGGTTTGAGAGGATATCAAGATCAGTGAAGAAGCCCACAATGGAATTGGCAATTGTCATCACTACTGTGGCATTCACCGGCGTCCTAAACTTCTGGTTGATGATAGCCAGCCATGGCGGAGCCATGTGAGTCCGCCCGATGTGAGTGAAATACCGCGCCTGACCAATGATGTTGGCCAGTAACACAGTGGTCATACCCTTCAATGCCCCCAAAGCAACTATATACTTGACCCAGTTCATGCCGACGGCCTGGAATGCCACCGTGAATGGCGCATTGACGTCAATCGTTGTATATGGCTGCATGAGGCACAGTGTGGCCGCAAGGATGCAGTAAAGGACTATAGTGATCAACATGGATCCGACCAGGCCTATGGGTATGTCGCGGGCTGGTTTCTTAGTCTCCTCGCCCAATGTTGCTACACCATCGAACCCAACGTAAGCAAAGAAGAGCACAGCCGAGGCTTTGAACACCCCTTGAACTCCATACGGGGCAAAATTGGTGGTGATATTAGCGAGGTTGGCCTCGGTAAGCCCAACAGAAATAATGAGGAAGAGAACGGCAATATGGATGACTGAAGCCACTACGTTGAAGTGAGAAGACCCCTTAATGCTGATAGCGGCCATAACGCCAACGGCGGCCGAGATGGCAACTGAAATAGGGTCCAGGTGATTGTAGTTTTTGTTGAGGCCAGAGACCACAATCCGGAAGTCGTCTGGCTCGTGGTTGCATAGAGTCGCGAAGTAAGACGTCCATGAGCGCGCCACACCGGCCCCAGCCACAATATACTCCAACAAAATGTTTCCAGCTGCGATAAAGGCCGCAAAATCACCGAGCTCCACTCTTAGGTAGGCAAATGAGCCTCCTGCCACTGGGATCTCAACAGCAAATTCGGTGTAGCAAAACACAGAAAGCATAGCAGAGATTCCAGACACCACGAAGGAGAGGATAACAGCAGGGCCAGCATCGTTCCTTGCCTCAAGCCCTGTAAGTACGAATACCCCTGCACCCATTACAGCACTCACACCGAACCAAATTAGATCCCACCATGAAAGGCTTTTCTTCAACTCGTTCTGGCTCCGGGCCCGTACCTGGTTCAGCTCGATTTCATCAAGTGATCGAGCAAAGGCACGGCTTTTGAGTCTTGGAACTGTTTCACGTAGTGCCTTGACATAGCTCCCCCAGCTCCGAAACGACTCCTCCGGAAAGAAATCATCTTTGCTGCACCTACATCCCCTCCTCTTAATTGCATCACCATCATTAGATTGATCTCTACTGCTCACCATGGTCGCCATAGTCCTGCTATTACTAGATGGTTAGAGTTTTTATTCAAAACCCAAGGCCCAAGCAATATATATCTGTGGGCTATATGCTGCAGAGACAACAAATAAACATAGAAGCTGAAACTTAAAACTGGTTTAGTTTAGTTTTGGAGTTGGTCTGAAATTGCCATGACCCTGGAAACCCCTCCTGTCCCCCTCCTACTCATAGTAGAAATGATGCTTCTCAACTTTGAAGAAAGGACTCAGAAACACAAAAGGTCTGCATTACTTAAAGAAGCAAAGAAAAACATCTCATCTTCAACCATACATCTGAGACATTAGTTATTCAAGGTCTTCATCATGTACTGTTGAAGAAGAAAATCAAGAGAAAATGTATAAATATCTTCAAGTGCAAGAAAGCTTCAGATGTTTATTTACCAGAGATGGAACCAAAGGTTAATTCTTAAAAATAAATAAAAATACTTTAAAAATGTAGAAAAAAAAGTAAGAAAGACTAATATTTAGTTCAAGCATTGAGCCTCAACTTTATTGGGTGCATTCAAATTAAAATCTGCATGCTTGAAAGGCCATATATGCTCATCAAATGAATCAAAATTAATCTAGGTTTTATCCGCTCTCCGGGTGAATGACCAACATAGATGAAAGACGCCATGTCTAAGGGATAGATCCCCCGGGAATCCAAATCAGCTTTCGATGACTCTATTGGCGAATGTCACCAAGAAATAAATTGTTTTTCTTATTTCAGAAAGAAACCCCAAAACCAGAGAGATCAGAGAGATGGTAATGAAAGGGGTTCGACAAAAGTTAAAAAGAAAAAGAAAAAGAAATCATAACTCATCCAAATTAAAGGGTTTTGAACGAATAGCACTGCAAATGAAGAACAAGAAAGGGACGTTTACTTGCCTTGAATTAGAAGAGCGACCAGTGCTTCAAGCTCTGCTGTCTGCCCGCCATGGAACAGCCCTTAACTACAAATCCTACACCACAAAAGGAACCATCGGTCGGACCTCCAAGGCACAAACCCCCAACACCGATGAAGGCGGGATCTAATCCCAGATCTCCGCTACAAATTAACCAGCAAGCCATCTGGGACCTTCTAATTCCGATTTTATTATAATTCTAAAAAAAATCGCTCTTTAATATTCATTCCATCTATTCAATTTTCTCGAATCCTCAATTTCTTTGACTTCACCATTCCTCCATTTAATGCTGACACACCATTATATTATTATTTAACAGTGAAAGTACAATGCCATGCACGTGTATAATCTATATATATATGATGAGATTTAGGATAATTGTTACCCCAATGAGATCTTTGTTGGTTGTTATTTCTTAGGACATATCTAAGACAGAGTACAAGGCCAATGGCCAATTCATTGCACCCAAATAAGGAAATGAACTTTGTTGATTGTTATTTATGTAGGACACAATTTAAGAAAGGGTTTCCTGTTATGTAAAATTCCTCTATTATAAATTCAGTACAAGGCCAATCGTTAATTATCATATTTTTATCCTAGGGTAATGATGAGAATAAAAATTATCATATTTTTATCTCTAATTATTCAATCTTTCATACTTAATTAGTATTTAATTGGATTCATTATTCTTGTATTTCGATTTAGGGCACGAAAGAAAGCGTCAGAGGAAAAACAAGGCTAATTGGGAAATTTTGCACAGTTTCGACACCGCTTAATAATCTGGGAATGACTCTCCCATCCGGACTCCGATTGAGATGATTCAAGATGCATTGGAAAGATAAGGAAGAACTACACAACTTTCATGTTTTGAATTTTGATGGATTTGGGCTGCATCGAAGTCAAAATCGGGCCCGAATTCTGAGCAACTCGTAGGGAAGCCCAGTTCGCAGTAGAAGCCCAATTCGCAACAGAAGACCAACTCGCAGAGAAGCCTTGTAGCGGCCCAATTCATTGAGGAAGCCTAATACGAATGCAAGAATAAGAAACGGCAAAGAGTCCTATCAGATTTAATTTTCTGATGTAATTCTAGAAAGATAAAGGAGATTGAGATTAGTAGATAAGAGATAAAGATAGGATTAGATCAAAACTAATTAAGACTTTCTATTTTTGGGGAAGAACTCCAAAAGGAGTTGGAAACAGCCCCTCCTCCTAAAGCTATATAAAGGGGGGGGGGACTAGCATCAATCAATCTCTGGAGCAATCAAGGAAAATCCTCCAAGAGAGCTTCAGCCTTCAAGAAGGCAGTTGGCAACGCAGGAGGAAAAAAGGAGGAAGGCGGCGGCAAGGAGAAGAAGTTCATCGATCTCAACCTCAAGGGGTGACATCATGARTTCTTTCTTATACCTTGTTTGTTTAATTTTCTTTATCATAAACTAATCTATTTGTAGCAAGGGCTGTGGAAAGCCTAACCACGACCATGGATTGATCTTTATTTAATTCAKYCARGCTGTTTTTATTTTCATATTGTCTATGAGTTATTATGCGTAATGCAATTAGGAGCTTGGCCACCTCCTAGTTGATTTGATTTATATGAATGAACCGGAAGGGAAATTCATATAAAAGACTAAATAATTCATA